GGGGGGGGGGGGGGGGGGGGGGGGGGGGGGGGGGGGGAGCAGCTGGGATGAAGATGCGGAGCTCACATCGTGTCCACTCGGGATGATCTGACTCCTGCTCCATCCTCCCATGGATGAAAAACTGTTAAATATCCCGGGACGTGGAGCTGCATTTGCTCCATGAAAGGCTGCCAATGAGCTGGAGTAACGTTTGTTTCACGGACTTGAGCATCACACAACCTATTTAAGCAGACCTTTTGTTGTTATGTCAAGAGAATAAACTAAGTTTAATTAATCTGAACTTCACCGTGTTAGTCAAAGTTGAATTCATTGTTGTGATTCAAATTTGTAAACTAGCGTAAAAGTCTTTCATAACCTTAAATCATCAGTAAAAGCTGGAACAGCAACTCTTCTAGTAGCTACATAGAGATGATTTTTCCTTCACGGTCACAACAAAAAAAAAACTATCAATCTAAATGCTCAAAAACAAATTAAACAGAGAACAATCAAATTGCCTGTTTTATGCCATCAAACTGGCAAGCTGTATTTGTCGTCTGTGATGTATAAAAGAAATCTCTATTAGCACCCGTTTGGATATTTCATTTTAGAAACATCAACAACAACTATCCCCAAAAAAGAAAAACCATTTCAGTCTCAGTGTGTTGACCAAAAGTGTGCTCACTCAAAGCAGTCATAGTGTGTGGAAGTTTGCAGGTTTACAGCTGCCAGATGTATAATTCTTATGTCATGCTCCACTGAGTCCAGCCTCCCAGAGACCCCCCAATGAAATGAGTTGTGTGTGTCGGTGGGTGTGTGTGTGTTGCTTAAAGCGTGGTGAAATGAGATGTTCACATCCCAAGGACGTCTCCCACCATAATTTAAACCCAGTGGTGCTGGAAGACTTCAAACTGAAAGTGCTGAAGTCATAAAGCGGTGCACCTCTGTCTGCACCGTTATTACCAGCGATCTGCTGGTGTAAACTTGCAGGCAGGTGGCCGCCACTCCAGCAATGCAGAATATTAGGACTGAGACATTAAGCTTTTCCGTGTCATGATTTGTGTGTTTTCCCTAGGCGTTAGAATTAAGTTAAAGACCCACAGGCAGCACTGTGCTTCAGTGCTTTTTTGTGGCAGTTAATCTGTTATGTGTGATAAACACAAAGCGTGATGGGGTTAGAAAAACACAATGCGTGATATCCTCAGCTGTTTACCCCCTGATGTACAGTTTCTCACAGCGGGAACCTTTGATTTAATTTGCGACGGACAGACAAGCATGCACTGTGACTTTGAGCCCCAAAGTTCATTCTATTCCCCTGAACAGGAAACACTGAGACAGCCCTCGGCCCTTTCTTTTTATGCAATGATTTGAAAATAGGGATTCTGGGTGAGGATGGTGGAAAGCTCAAGACAAAAACAGGAAGGGGGGGGGCTTTTACTATAGCATGAAGAAATATCCCCAACCCTCTTTTTCCTCTTTAAGAGCTGTTGAAAGATGTATAGTGCTCGAGCATCATGATGAATCCCCTCTGCAGAGGATAGGAGAACACTTCTCTCATATCATTAAGCTTTAGTAATGGTCCCAATGTCATGTCCCTCCTGGCAGGGTTCACCAAGCATTTACTCGTCCTGTTAACGGGACCGCTGGCTCTACCTGCGGACTCTCACTGCCGCAGCTACTGGGCCTCATCGTAGCAAACACCTAGATTCAAAAGTACTCCCAGGGTAGATTCTTTTTAAATAAACACAGTCCTAATGTTCAAATGATTTTGGATTTTTTTTTACAATTTTTTACGGGAGCTCAAGTTGGTTGGTTGAAAGAAAAAAACAATTAAGTTTCTAGATAATAATTTCAGATACTACAGTGTTTAAATTAAATGTGATCTTTTTTTAATTAAATTAAGATTCAACCCCTCAGTTTTTGCTACAATGAGAAAACTGGAAACATAAAAAAACACTGCAGGTACAAGATAAAACAAAAAATTTTAAATGAATAACTAAAAGGCAACACAGGAGAGAGGCATGTCATTATTTTCTATTATCATACATTTCATTTTTTTTAAAGTGAAACAATTCTCTATACCATTTCCATAATATTTTTATGACATTATTTCATCAAGAAAAGGACAGAGGACATGGACCATAATCATGCATAACACCCCTCCAGTAGCATTGACCACACACTAGGGAATTCTACCATTCATTTGGTCACAAACCAAAAATGTTGTTCCATTCCATAAAATCCTTTCCCCCCTTTTTATTTATTTTTTGGGTGGTTGTGTTTTTGGTTTTGCAGATGTTTAATTTAATTGAGGAGTGAAATGTTGCCATGTTTTGTCTGATGTTGTTGTTAGGCCACCACATAAAACTAACCCAACCTGCGTCCTTTTCCTGGTTTTTAATGATTTATGTTATGGAAAACAAGTCTCAGCAGTGGTACCATGAAAACAGATTTATGCCCCCCAAAAAAAGAGGCATGCAAGTATGCACACATGTAACAAAACTTGTTTAAAGTCTGAGCCGCTTTCGTTTTGAAGTCTTGCTATTGTTCGACTAACTGTGGTATGCTTCGACAATAATTGTGCCTTCCAGATCTGGCTTATTTAATAGTTTATCTGTCGTAACTTTTCATTCAGTATCGTGTTTGAGTAAACTTTTTTTTATGTGTGGTTGAGCTTTTTTTCCCCCTCTTCTTTTTACATTTTCCGTTTCATCTCATGCTCAAAATTAAACATTTGATTTTCTGTGGGGACAGACTGCAGCTCTGATCTTTAGTTTCACAGTCAGACTGCTTAACTTAAATCTCCAGAGTGCGAATGCCTGTGTTACTTCATGCATTAGTGCCACTGCAGTTATGTCCCCCCCCCCCCCGTTCCCTTTCACACGCATAGACACACCTATTCTCACGCACATAAGCTGGGATATAGGTTTTGCCAGAGCCCTTCATAGATCAGCCTCCCTTGACAGCTCTCTTAAATGTCCTTGGCAGCCCCCCAGCCCTGATCCCTCGTTCCCTCTGTGTTCCTGCACCTTTCCTCTTTGCTGAGGGGCTGATGGATGCTGCTGTATTTCTTTGCAGCTCTTCTCTGGAATGCCCCCATAACCACAGAGCCCTGTGAGTCAAGCCCCCATCTATATATATCTCATTAAATGTCACTTTTGGAATGAACATGTTTCTCTACCGTGAGTTCAGAATGACCTGTACAGTATGGATATCAGGGTTAACTAGCTTCTTTAAAGTTAAGACAAATGTATCCTGGATTCTGAGTTTATTATTCTTATTATTATTATGCCTGTATTTCATTTGTAATACCGTTCCTTTAAAATTTAGTTAACAAGCGGACAATAAATCACATGATCTGCCTCTGCAGATTGACTGTGATTTACTCCCAAATGTGAAGATCCTCTTGACTAAAAAGAATGACACTCAAAAAGGCAGCTTCGCACGCTTTAGTCCCCATCTAATGTTTGTTTTTTTAGATCACAAGCTTTTATACACACTCTCATCTCTGCTATCAATCACATATTTAATTTAATGTATGAATATATGATTTATGTTGCTCAGGCCGATGTTATAAATCTATTTTGCGAGGGGGGGTGAGAGATCTGATGTTCCCTTATTGATTGGCTGGCTTAATAGTGTTTGTTCTTTATAGCTGATCTCAGGAAATAAAGCAAATAAATAGCTGAGAATGAGTGCAGTCACTGTGATGCTCACGAGGATACGAGAGAGATTGAGTGTAGAGGAAGGAGCAGGAAGTAAAACGGCAGATTAAAAAAATGTCAGACAGCAGGAAAACAGTTGAAACATTAAAGCGTACATGCAGAATATCATTCACAGCATATCTGACAGTAGTACAAACGGTCATTTCTGCACATACAAAAAGAGAAAACTGATGACTTTTGTCACTTTTACATTCGGCTGGGTCAGAGCGGAAGGTTTCTTCTGCATCTATACAAAGCTATGACATAGCTTGCTTCAAGTATCGCTGTCCACCGTCTGTGCAAACCGCTAACTTTCGTTGACATCTTTGAACATCGTAATGAGTGACAGAACATGATGTTTCTTCACAAACCCAGAAGCGCCACCGTTTAATGTCAGACCGGAGTCCGGTCGTCACTGTTAATCCGTAATGTCAGGCCACCATTTGCTTGAAGACAGTTTTACAGTTCTCAGAGGATTTGTCAAATTGATTTGAAAACCAAGTAGTGGTTATTGCCCAGAATCAGGCTCTTCACAAGTGTTCTGACTTAAATCTGCCTTGACATGTCCCATATCCCCTTGCCCATGTTACAAATAATTAGACAAACCATACATGTGTTTAAGCTTACGTTTATAGTCTTAGCTGGTTTCTTAGAAGCCCCCAGCTTGAAAACTTTAATTACATCACCACAAAGAAAATGCTAAAAAGACCTCAGAGCAGTGACCTCACCTTCTTCCAACTTGCTCCAAACTGAAAGGAGGAGTTGGGGGCATAAATCCAGCCCATTAGCCCTCAGGTCTCAGGATGACAGTCCCCGCCCCACGGCTGATGTAAACCAAACTTCCTGTTTGGAGATGAAGAAGCCTGTCATAAGGCTGGAGCCACCTCAAACCCTGTCACCCAAGAAAATCAATTCTAAATAAGGGAAAAGAGAAACAAGTGGGGAGAGTAGGGTGTGTGTGTG